GGTAGCCTCCCTGAGTATCCCTTTAAGGAGGCCACAAGCATTAACCTTGTCCCCTTCTCCCCAGGCCCCCTGACACCTGGGTCTTTTCTCTCTCTCTCTCTCCCTTGTTTCCTGGAGGATCATGGGGCCCAAGGGTAAGCTTTCTTGTGTCCCAGCCAACCGGGGTCTGCTTAACCAGCTCAATTCTGTAGGCCCCAGACCCCTGAGTCCCACTGAGATGATTCTCTGCCATTTTTCTGGATTCTTTCAGGTCCCTGTATCTGATGTTCCTGTCGTCTCCACCCACTAGTTCTATGTGAAACTACCACCCAGTCACCCAGTAAGATTCCCCTGGCTTACCATGCCTTCCAGAAACTTGTCTGGGTTCACCCTGCCCTATTTAATTGTACAAGTTAATATTTAATGAACCCACTTTATATGCCAGACACTAGTCATTATTTCATGGCACTCAGCCTCACAACAATGCTAGGAGGCTGGCCATGTCACTATCCCTACTTTACAGATAAAGAAACCGAGGTTGAGAGTGAATAACTGACTTGTTCGACCTAAAAAGTTTCAGAACTGAGACTAGAATACACATTGGTCTGATAAAACAACAACAACAACAACAAAAAAAAAAAACAGTTTTAACTACTTCACTAACTGCCTCCCAAGGGCTGTCCAGTCTTCTACCTTATCGGCTGCTACTCCTGACGCCTTGTCCCCGTTCCCTCTGCCCCTGCCCCAGGTCAGGCCCCACACCATTCAGCAGGCAGCATCGAAGGCCCTCCCCTCCATCACCGGGTATGTCCTGCCACAGGGACGGCGCACCGCGGCACAGAAGAGCTGGCCTGCGGCACCAGGCAGCCCCGACTTTGAATCCCAGAGTCTTCACTCGCCTGCTTCTGTGTTCTTGGGTTAACTCACTGACCCTCTCTAAGTTTCCTCATGAGAAAATAGGAATTATAATGGCACCTGTACCAAAAGGGTTTTCTTTTTTGAGTGTTTATGGCGATCACATAGGTCAGGCCCTTGGCATCATGCCTGGCTGGCACACAGTAAAGGCTCCACACGTGTTAGACATGGTTATGTCGTTCCTCCCAGAAGGAATCTTCCATAGTGTTTCCCCCTTTCACAAATTTGCCACGACGGGCACTCAGCACCCTCCTTGACCTGGCCCTAGTTGTCTTTTTCATCTTTGTCTTCTCCACCCAATAGTCCCTTCCGTTTCCTGGCCTCTCAGTGAGATGCAGGGAAAAGAGTGCGTGTTCTGGAGTCAGGCAGACCTGGGTTTGAACCCTAGTTTCCCCCTCTCTAGCTCTGTGAGCTTGGGCAGTTTCCTCAAGCTTTTTGGGCTTCAGTTTTCTTGTCTATAACATGAGGATAAGGTTGTAGTGAGGATTACACGTGGGAGAGCATCCTCCGAATGCCTACTAGGCATTGGATCCTCGCATCTATGTTATCAACAGAATCCCTGCTCCAGCTGCCCTGCTAGTCTCCCCGACCCCCCGCATGCTGTTCTCCTGTCTGTTTATTTCTCTACCTCTCCAGGAGCCTCCTCCCAGTGAGAAAGCTTCCTGACTCCTCCACCTTCTTTTGCAATCCTCTCGTAGATTCCCATGGTGCTTTCTATCTATAATAATCCTGAGAACTTTGTTTTGTACAATTCTTTATGGCTTTCATAAAACCCTTTAAGAAGCCCAATTAATTTGCACAACTCTGGTAGATAGTGCAACATAGTAATTATTATCCTTATTTTTAAAAGGGAAACTGAGGCTCTAAGAGACTGAGTGACTGTTTCATGAGCATGAGTGGAGGCCTAGAGCCCAATTCTGCTGGCTCCTGGTCACCTTGTCTTTCTCCTCTGTGCCACTTTGCACCTGAGTGACTGCCACTCACTTGACAGCAATGCCTTTCTGTTGTTGGAAATTGTTTTTCCACAGGCGCCTGCCTGGTCCCCCCAGGGACAATGTGGTCTGACCCCTCCTCTTAGCCAAATGCCTTACGAATAGCTGTTATTTGGCTGATGTCATTAAATGTGTTGAAATTTGAATTAATGTGTTATGTTGCAAGTAGGAACTAACAACCGTATTGGCTAGAAGGTTGAACTGGTACAATTAAAATCTGATTTCGAAGTAAGAACCATAAAGACAGGTTCCACTCCTGAGATACCTGGTTCTCTGTGCTGAGCCTTTGGACTTTGGTTCCTTGGATTTGGGGAATTTGGAGCTGGATACTCTGTCCCCTGTGCTCTTTATTCTTGTTCTATAAATAACCCTAACCATGGTGGACTGTAATTAATCCGCTTATCCATCTGTTTTCCCCAACCCCAGACTGTGAGTCCCTTCAGGACAAGCACCACATCCAATTCCTCTCCATGCCTAGGGCCTGCCACCATGCTTGGCACATAGTTAATGGAAGTTGAACGAGTAAACCTGAAAGACCCATCTGGGTCTATCTCCTTATTCCCATTATCTTACTTATCATATTGCATATTGTACATATTTCTTATCTCTTATACTGAATTAAGAGCAAGTTTCATGTTTTACTCATTTTTGTAACCTCCCTAACAACCATGAAAGGAGGAAACTGTAATTATTGAGTGCCTATTGTGTGCTGGTAGTGATTTCACATATATCATCTCATTTTTAAAATAACTCAATTTCATTTTCATAATAGGTTGATAAGGTTGGCGTCATCATTCCTGAATTACAAAGGAGGGAGCTAAGAAACTAATTGAATTTGACCAAGTTTACTCAGCTTGTAAGTGGCCATGCTAGGATGTGAATCGCTGTCTGCTGGCTCTAAGATCCATGCCTTTCCTGTGTGTTGTTGCTTTTTGTTTTTCAACAGCATACAGGATAACTGAGTGCTTTGGCCTAGTAGGTGTCAGGAACTCTGCTGAATTGAGGCTTGAATTTAATCACATGGAATCTAATCTGCGCTAGCCTGCTCCGAAATATTTCAAGCCCATATACTGCCACCTTCCCATTTGATCGTTTGTATGAAATGCTTCTGGAAGCATTACTGAGCACTCACAATGCGTCAGGCACAATGCTAGGCACTGGGCACACAGTGCTGAAAGCAAACGCCTCAGGGAGCTTACGGTCTACGACAGCAGACTGTCACAGTGATAATAAATGTGCTATGGGGAGACGGTGACAAGAGCTTAGGTCAGCCTGGGGCGGTCTTGGGAGGCTTCTGAGTACATCATGAGGGGGAATGAGAGTTGGCCAGGCCAAGCAAGAGAAGAGCACAGAGGGAACAGCATATGCTAAGGTGCTGACGTGTAGAATTGCAGGACAGGCCTGGAATAAGGGAGTGTTTTGGTGGAACAGGGTAGGGAGAGCAAGAGATGCTGAAGCTGGTCCCTCTGTGTCCACATCATGAACCAAAGGCCACACTGGTACCAGCCCTTGCTCCTATGCAGGTGCCCTTTGGCTTAGATGACAGCTAGGACACTCTCCCCCCCCCACGACATGCGTGAGAGAAACAGCCAGCAGCATCTCCATCTGTCTTCTCTGGGTGAGAAATAATGAGCGAGCACCGGGGCAGACCCACATGGTGATGCCACCTGCCTGAGGTGGAGCCTGGCTGCCCTCGGCCGGTCATTAAGGTGCAGCCTGGCTTTAAGCTGGTGTTCTTGGTGTGACCCCAGAGCAGAGGGCCTTGGGGCAGGGACGGCAGGTGTAAGCAGGACTAGGCCCTGTTCAGAATGGTCAGGTGGAGTGGTCGGGTGGAGTGAAGTTCTGCCCACTCCAGGCCACAGGGTAGTAAACTGAAAATGGCAGTTGGGCACCCCCGGTTCAAGTTTTCCTCTTTGCTGTGCCTGAAAATGTCCTTTAACTTGAGGCTTTGTAAAACCAACCAAAGAATGGCTGAGAATTGAGCCAACCCTATGATGAACTGTATAATAAACATATATACACATCTGTATTCATCACATGCAGGAACAAATCCCATATGGTATTCATGTGGACTATCGGGTCCCTCTTCCTCCCTTCCTTGGCGACTTTGATGAAATCCTTAAGTCAAGTTCTGTCTGGGTCCTGCCCAGATCTTACTCTGTTTCCCCAGACGCCTGTGCATGAATTCCCTCCTGCCTCCCACCACAGTCACCATCCCGTGTGACCATCACCAAACCACTGTGGCCTGGTCACCTCCACATATCCAGACCGTGTCTCCCATCCTTTACATATGGGCAGCCTGCCTGCGTCTCGTACTGGAACGCACATAAAAGTCTGCTAAACACAGCCAAGTTTATTCCTGAGAGTTGCCTAAGGCTGTCCCCCGACACACACACACACACACACACACACACACACACACACACACACACACTTTATCTTTTGCTCCTTGCTCACCTCCCCAGCTCTATACTCCAAGTTTGCTCCCTCTCGTGCATTCTTCATGCTGCTGCCTGGATGATTTATTTAAAATTCAAATGCAATTATGTCACTCCCCTGCTCAGAACCTTTCAGTGTTTTCAGATCCTTTCAAATGTTTTCACATCCAAACTCCCAAAGCATTTAGAGCAAGGCCATTCATGAGCAAGCTCTTTCCTACCTCCCTGGCATCATCTCCTAACTTTCCCCTTGACAGTTTGTGACATAGCAATGCTGAATTGCTTATGATTCTCCAAACACACGATGTTATTTAATGTTTCTGAGAGTGCCAAGATATCCTTCCCTCTCTACTCTGTCTTACAAATCTGATCAGCCTTTAAAATTCTCTCAGCTGTCCTCATCTCTGAGACCACCCCCACCCCCCAGACAGAAGGCAACCCTGGGCTGCCCCTGTGTCTTAGGCAGCATCTGCTGTTGACCTGTCTGCAAGTTCCCAAGACTGGCTTGCTTACAGGAAATCTGCCTTAACCGCTGAATGGTGCAGAGCCTAAGACAGAGTAGGCGCTTAGTCAGTGCTGGTTGAATCACTGTCCAATTACACCTGCTCCCATCATTAAGGGGCCCGTGTTTCAGCCACAGCCACACTGATGACTGTGTCCTGATTGGCTTCCCCAGGCCGGGCCAATCACTGGTCTGCGATCATCGGCGGATCCCACTCCAAGAACTACGTGCTGTGGGAGTACGGCGGGTATGCCAGCGAAGGCGTCAAACAAGTCGCGGAATTGGGCTCCCCAGTGAAAATGGAGGAAGAAATTCGACAACAGGTAAGAAAAAAAAAAAAATCACAGAATGACCAAAACCCAGAAATGCAGTCAAAGCATTCCATAAATTTCTTTCCTAGGAGCTTAAAATTTGCAGTACAATGTGCTGGAAGACAATCTCTTTGCTGAGTTTGGGGGTTTTATGCTAAGTAGAGGACAGAGGCGGAAATAGCCATCTTGTGTCTCTGATTTTCCCTGACTGGATTCATGTTTTATTCAGTTTGTGCTAATTGCCGCCGTGTCCACAGTGTTGGGGTGTCAAGTCTCTGGTCTCCTGAGATCAAAGCAGTGAATTCTGGTTTTCTTACTTCGATCCTTGAGGGGGTCAGGGGAGTGACATTCAAGCTGTCTAAGCCAAATTGTCATTTCGGACAATAAACATTTGCATATTGGCGTGTGCCTTTTGCAACTATGCCTTGAGGTGTTTGATAAATTAGTGGGTCTGAGTCATAATCATTATGGACCAAAGCATCTTCTGCGTACTGTGTCATGTGGGCCCAGGAGCTTTTCCGTCATTTAGGCCCCCGCTCGTAATTCTTGTCGATTTGTTCAGCTGACGGTGCCATGGTCCTGCATCAAAAGCCCAGTCTGGTTAATGCCAGAGAGAGGCTGATGAGAGGACCCTGGGAGAAGAGCTGCGGTTTACTGTGAAAGGTGACAGCCTGGCACTAGCCATCACCACCCACAAAAGCCCTGAGGGTGTGACATGGGCAGCCACACCCACTGCCCACCAAGTGTTCTGGAGGAAGGAAGGAAGGAGCAAACCGTGCTGGGGATGTGGTCCTTTCACAGCATGGGTCACTGAGAGGCTGTTGCCCTCTCCGTGCTCCTGTCCCAGGCTCCTAAGACGATGCAGGAGGCCCCAGAAATACCAGGGGCCCCGAATCTTGTGATGTGCATGTGCTCAGCCCGAGCAGCACGGTGGCGGGGCGAGCACCCACCCTCTGGACTCCATGCTGCCCACGAGCCCTAAACCGAATGCAGCGAAGGTCACTCTGGCTCCTACTATAATCCCCTGAGGAATCCTTTTGGACCAGAGTCAAAAATGCCCAAGAATGAGCTTATGTTTCTTATTAATTTGATTTAAAGTCTTTTCTCTTTTCTCAGAAAAAAAAAAATTGAGCAGATGTTTTAAGATTGCGTGCTGTTCATCACAGGGTTAGCCGTCTGACCACTCTGTGCTTCTCTGGCTTTGGCTGCCTCGTAATTGCCACCACTCCTTCAGGCCACAGCAGAGTCACCGAGGGCCCCGCATTGGCGCTGGTCTGTCTGGCGTGTCATGGGGACAACCCTTGTCTAAAATCCTGAGGGTCCGAGTTCCTGGTGGAATTATGACCCTCTGGCTTCTCAAGCTCTGTGGTGTGGAATGTTGAAAATCATTTATCATAAATGATACTTGAAATACTAAAGTTTGCAAATAAATTAGGTCAAGGGCATCTTCATGATAATGCCAGTCTCACTTGCTGGGTTTCTTGAGAGGAAAGAAGCCTGCAGCAATTGCACAACACTGGGACTCCAGTGCGCCAGTGAACATTATCTGTCGTAACGTAGTGGCAGTAAAAAGGTTGAAAACTCATGGATGGGATCCCAGCCTTAGAATGTCCCTCTTATGAAAAGGTTCTTTGTTTGGTGTATTTCTAACTAGCATGCCTAAGATTGGCTTGTCTACTACACATGCAGTGTCTGCCTATCCCAGCTGACTAGCGTTCCTGGCATAAAGTTATAATAATAAGTTTAATTATGGGTCCTGCACATGGGAACGAGCAATCTCAGTGTCTTAGTACCATTTTTCCAGGCTCCCTGGGTGCTGGACATCTACTTGTAGCCCCCTCACATCTAGTCTAAGAGGGCAATACTATTATCTCAGTTTTACAGATAGGGAAACCAAGGCATGGTCAATAGCAGAGAATAACACCAGGACTTAAACCCAAGTCTGTGTGGCTCCAAAGCCTGGCCACAGTACCAGATGTACAATATGCAGGGCCCACTGCAAATGTGGGGCCCTTTGTTCAAAACTTGTAAAGAATTTCAAGATGATGATGCTGTGAGTTTCATAGCATGGGGCCCCGTGAGACTGCACAGGTCACCTGCCCATGTAGCCGGCCCTGCCTGTGCACCTTCCCTGCCCCACAGAGAACTGCTCTGGCCAGGCCCTCAGGCTCCTCTAAATTGGGCCTTTGCCAGCTGCACATCACATTCCCCAGCTCCTTGGAAAGTCAGTTGGCAGAGTGATTTCAGGTGCTCTTCACGTCCAAAGAATCCATGGTTCTAAATATTGTTCCCTGCAAGCACACAGTTTATTACATTTTTCTATAAGTCAGGTAAGAAACAACATAAAAAGGAGCAAGAATATGAATTCTCCTAAAATATAAAAGTGTCTTCTGAATAACTGGGAACTTATTTGAAAACATGTACAAACTAACACAATGTTTTCAGCCTTTAATACCGTATTTCGGCCGGGCATGGTGGCTCACGCCTGTAATCCTAGCACTCTGGGAGGCCGAAGTGGGCGGATTGCTCCAGGTCAGGAGTTTGAAACCAGCCTGAGCAAGAGCAAGACCCCGTCTCTACTATAAATAGAAAGAAATTAATTGGCCAACTAAAAATATATAGAAAAAATTAGCTGAGCATGGTGGTGCATGCCTGTAGTCCCAGCTACTCAGGAGGCTGAGGCAGAAGGATTGCTTGAGCCCAGGAGTTTGAGGTTGTTGTGAGCTAGGCTGACGCCATGGCACTCACTCTAGCCTGGGCAACAAAGTGAGACTCTGTCTCAAAAAAAAAAAATACCATATGTCATACCAATCACTCTATGAAAGAACCCAAGTCCAACCATGAGGAAAAACAAAAAGCCCTCTTTTCCCAAGAAATATATTTATATGTTTAGCAGCATTCTCTTATTATAGACTTACTGCTCACTGCAAGTATCAAGGGCATTAAAAATCACAATAGGTGTTGGAGGTAAATTTTATGCTAATGGCTTCTAAATACAAATAAACAAAAATACTAATCCCATTAGTAGTGGAAACTTATAATAATACCATGGAGTATAAATTTTAATGTTACTATAACTACAAAACACCAAGAAAATTAATGGAAAATTACAACAGCGTTATTGACAGTAACGACCCTAGTGGCCAGAGTGAGTGGGGAAGGGCCACACCTTCGTAGGAAGGCAGAGGCAAATGCTCTCTGGGGGCCAGTGGGGACTGGGAATTGGGACTACTGAGCTATGGATAGCCTGGAAGGTCACAAATGGGTAAACCAAGGCAGGCGGAGGCTGTAGGAAAGGGTAGATCACACGTGTAGGTCAGACATGGGAATAATGGAAGTCGGCTGATAAATACTTGTTATGAACAGAATTTGTCCCACCAAGACCATTCCTACTTCAGCAAGCACATATTTCTGGCATGTTTACTAGGTATCTGGCTCTCTGCTGGATGCTGTCCCAAAGATAGTGCCCCGTTTACCCAGCTACTCATAAACTAGGTGCCTGCCACCCTTGATTCTCCCCGCACGCCAGCATCTGCCTTCTCTTTTTAATCTGTCCAGTTCGATCCACCCCCATCACTACCTCCCTGTATAAGCCACCCTCCTCCTTGCCAAGACTGCTTCACTGGCCTTCTGATGTCCCTGCCTCTAATCCTCTTCCCGTTATCCACTCTGCCCCCCTCCCCCGAGAGTATTTTACAAAACACAAATCAGATCATGCCACTCTCCCAATTAACATGTTTAATGGCTCATTTTTGACCCTAAGATAAAGCTCAGATTCCTCATCACAGCTTGAAACCCCTCCATGATCTGGCCTTGTCTTACCTCTCCATTCCTATTTCCTGCTGCCACCCTAAGCTTTGCCTGTGCAGAAGCGCTTTCCATCTCCCCAGAGAGCCATGCTCCTCTTGCGGCTGGGCCTTTCCTCAGCTGAAACATCTTCCAACTCTTCTCTGACTGATGAACTCCTAGTTATCCTTCAGGACTCAGCTTAAACCTTGCTTCTTCCCGGAGGCCTTCCCTGATTCTGTGCTAAATTGTCTGCTTGCCGGGTGCCCTCACAGCACCCTGTACCTTCCCTACCGTGACCAGCGTCACACTTACTATCAATACATTTGTTTGATGTCTCTTCCTCACCAAACTGCAAGGTTTAAAGCTGCCCTTCCCATTACTGTATCCCCTGGGCTTGGCATGGTGTTGGTTGCTTCCTAAATGTTTCTTGAGTGTGTAATTTTTTCATTCGATAACTTTATGAATATTTGTTAAACTTATTAATTTATTCATTTGATAACTTTACTGAACACCCACCATATGCCAGGCATTAGAGATGCAGCAGCAATCAAGAAAACTCCCTCCTTTCATGAGGCTACGTTCTAACAGGGGAGACAGAGAAAACAAGTACAAAAAACAACAGTTAAATAATTACGAATCGTGGCAAGTGAAAAGACACAAACAAGGTTTGTGGTGACATAAAGAGGATTTGAGTAGGGAGGGGTGGTTAGGGAAGGTCACTTCTCCCTGAGAAGTGACCATGAAGCTGAAGCCCGAAAGAAAAGTATGGGGGAAAATCATTTATATGGTGACAACAGCATGTGCAAAGGCCCTGGGGCAGAAAATAGCCTATTGTGCTTGAAGAACTAAGTGAAGACTGGTATGGCACAAAAGGAGACTGGAGGGTTGAATGCTGGACACTTTACTCTGAAGAAATTCACTGGATGGGAGAGGCAGAGACTACATAGTTATTTCCATATAAGGTACTTACGTCTTTAGGGGAATCAGTGCTTCCGCTGGGGAAATGCAGACACATGATAGGGAAGGCACTTGGTTGGTTTTACTCCCTGCTGGAGTTCTTTTCAAATCCTCCTCTGCTTCTTCCATAACATCCTGTCCCTTCATTGTGGCTACTTTTATCTCTTCAATCATTTTAACCATAGCTAATTGTCTCTTTCAGGTTATTCCATTTTCTAGGCTCTTTGGGACTATTTTTCCTTTCCATTGAACTTGCTCTCTCCCCG